ATTTTTACATAAATCTTCATTTTATTATAATCTAAATACAATGTTGATCCTTTTTGAATATTGTAATATAACAAGGTGTTCTGATCAAGTAACTTCTTGCCTGAATAAACAAGAATTTGTTGACCGATAGGGGCATCTTTCATGTCTTGGATCATTTGTTTGAGTTGTCTTATTTTTTTGTTTGTTTCTATTTCAACATTTATGATTTCTCCGGTATTTGTTTTTACAAAAATTATTGATTTAATTCCTAGATAAAGCGTGGACCCATTTTTGATTTTACAAGATAAGAGGGTACTATAATCATTTGGTTCATTACCAGAAAAACCAATACGCTGTTGGATAGGAAGAAGATTTTTTTTATTCTGGATCATTAATTTAACATCTTCGATAGTGTTATCTGTCGTTAAATCAAGTTCTATTATTTCTCCAGTTTCTATTTTCACGTAGATAGTTATTTCTTTAGATTCTAGAAGTAATGTGGACTCTTTTTGGATGTTGTAATATGATAGGGTATAAAAGTCATCTAATTCATCGGCATTAAATATAATGGATTGTTTATTAGTGGCAATGCCCTTTAAATCCTGGATCATGTTTTTAATTTGAAAGATGGTGTCACTCCAATACACATTCAGTTCCATTTTTTCAGTAGATGTTTTCAAGTAGATTAACATCGAACTTCTTGCATTAGTCGGTGTAAATGAAAACTCTAATTTAGAATGTTCTATTGAATTTTCACATTCACTATCTATTGCCTCGACTAAATCGCCTTCCTAAAGTTACAAACATCATAATTCATTAGCATAGTGTATAAATTTACTCTTTTCCCCTACCAACTTAAAAAAAGTTTTCTATAGTAGATGTAAAAATATTTACCTTGATTCCTAACCTTTCAATCGTATCGGTAAGCTGTATGTTCTTGTCATGGTACGAAAGTTTACAAGATGAGTAACCATACTGCCCGACACAGTTTTGGAAGTTCTTCAGCAATACTTCACCAGTCGTATGTATAGTCACATTTGCTACGTAGACTGAGCCCGTGATGTATTTAAGGCGGATAGGAAAAACGGGAACTGGATCAAGTAAAGTAGTTAAAAGCATTTTGAGATAAAAAAGTGTTTTTTTTTTTATACCTAAAATTTGAATGATATTGTTGATATATACTGTAAATTTGATAAATTTATATGAATGTTATATCATTTATGCAAAGCAAATTAAAGTTTATTGGGGATATGAAAAAAAAGCAATATAAGTGTACATTATTGGACAGACGACAAAAAATAACAGCAAATTGTTTTTTTTGTCGGAATTAATGTCACTCC